ACCGATAGTGTCTATTTTTGTTTTTTGTTTTATTTTTTCCGTATTATTTATCTTACAGTTGCTTTTCAGCCAGTATGTTTGTACAGCTAAAGTTCAAAAATGTATTTAAAGTTGTAAGCGGCAACATTTCTACTGTGTAAAGCTATTCGCATATTTAATAAAACTAGTTACTAGTTAAAACGGATTTTATCGCATATATTATTTTATGTTAAGACGACACATCGAAAAAGTGGCACCAGACTATCGGCGTACTGATTCGAGTGAATACATGATTTCTATAAACACTTAAAAAAACGCCGTCATAAGGTTTAAAATTGCGTAGCGCCCGCGACGATTAAAAGCGCTTAGAAATTGTCAGAATCTTAAAATATTTTTTTTAAAATTGTTGATTTAAGTAATCAAAATAATGAGCTAGTAAATTATGAATTTTATGTTACGAATATATTTGAGTGATTCCCAAGCATCTAGATTGAGTAATTTCTTTGTAATTTCACTATAGTGATTTTTTAGAGGTGTTTTCGCAAATAATTATGATCGAGTCAAAATTATAGAATCGTATTTTTGAACAAGCAAATTCAAGATAAAGACATGAATTTACCTATATCAAAATTCCACTTTCGTTAGTGGTGTCATAGTCCTATACTATTCGATGAAAGGAGGTATATTTTTTCGCGGTGTCGCCTTAAACTCCCAATATTTCGAGCACCTTACAGCATCAATGGTCACCCCTATGACCTGTGACTGAGATGTTCGAGGTCCCAATGTCACAGTTAACCACGGCTACTTCCACATTAAAATTATTAATTTTTTTTTCAATCTACGCAGTATGAACATGAAGTATCTAGAAGTCTTAGAGTTGTAATGAATATGAAGTATCTCGAAGTCTTACAGTTGTATGTTTGGGTTGGGATTTAGTTTTATTAATTATAAGATCCCAAGTAGATGGTAGCACCCAACCATCTTCACTCTCTATTGAACTACCTCCTTTTCTATTGAAATTAGGATGTTTTTTGATTTTATTAGTATCGTGAATCATCCTTGGGAGGAATCGGGTTTTATTAGCGAAGATTTATGGTCTATCAAATCTGATGTAGTGACGGTGCAATGACGTGTTCACAGAGTGCAGACTTCCTGGAGCGTCGATGCTTCACATCAGCTATGTGTTCTTTAACGCGTGTTTTTTGATCCTTCGATTTTCCCTATGTAAGAAAGATCACATTCACAATCAAGCTTGCACACTCCTGCGTCTTGCAAAGGGACGTTGCACTTTATTGCACTTGACTGATAGTAAAAACTGACTATTCTTCTTCGACGGCTTGAAATATGTTTTAATAGAAGCACACTTCAAAATGTAGCCAATCTTATCAGTGAAACGTCTGACTTATGGCGTTACAGCAGACACACGCTCGACTGTGGCTGGTTTCATTTTTTCAGTTTTTTTTCAGTTTCGTCACTCATTCACTGTGACGTATGCGTGGAACCCGCAACTTTGTCATACAAAACTTGCTTAATGTGTTGGAGCTCGGCGGTCAGGTATTTTCTGTCATAGATCCCTCGTGGTCTCTGAAACAAATATTTACTCACGGTAGCTAATTGTAAAGGATGGTGGTGAGAATTACCATTTAAATATCTTCCTTCTACTACTACGACTTTTTTCTATACACAGTGTGGCTCAACGTGTTATTAGATTTCCGAATTACTAACAGATCTAGAAAAGCTAAGTAGTAAGCTGGTAAGAATATCCACTACATCTTAACTGGTATTTTTCCTTTATGGCCTTCATTACAGAGAGTGTACGCAGGAATTATTTAATAGCATGATTTAATTGATTCAATTTCCCCTTTCCTCCATTGGAAAACCAGACTGTCAGTGGTCTCCATCCCTTTGTAGCCGATATTCCACGTATTCAAATCAAATGATTGGTTTTGCTTTTATAATGCGTACGCGGAGTTATTTATATGTGTGGAATTATTTGCCGACATCTGCCTTTCCGTCCGATTAACATCTCGGTGTCTTCAAGGCAAGAGTGAATAGGCTTTTGTTACGTCATTTTTTTGTACCATTTGCAAAGCGCTAAACATTTGAACATAACAAAAATATGTCCAAATCTGTTAAGTACCAGGCACTCTACTCTAAAATAATAGAGCACACTTATAATCACTCTACTTTGCTGATCACTAAGTACATCCACTAAACAGTTTTGTTCTACGTGTTCATTAGTACTTCATTATTTTTAAAAAAAAAAGTTGTAATCCTTACCCATATGGTTATTATTATAAGTAACTAAGCGCTATGAAATGTATTATTAAATCCAAATCTTTGCTCTGTTGTGTTAAACTTCATGATAGCAATATTACCGTGGAACTTGCTGCTAAGTAAAACAGTAATGCTTAAGAGATTTTCATCAAAATATTGACATTTGACATTTCCCTATTATGAAAATGAGATAAAGACTTTTAAGACCCATGTTTTTTTTATGAAATTAAGGCACGTAGGTCGCTGTGTAGGAGTAAAGCGAACTCTTCACAAAATAAGTCTTAATCTACTTTTACATAAAAGGCTATTAAACTGAATTGTATATTTTGAAATATATCTTGTTTATTAATAAAAATTTGCCTTTCACGACAAAATAAGAAATTTTGTAACTACATATTCGCAAGGTATTAATTTTTTTAATTTTTTATAGAATAAGGGTGACAAACGAGAAGACATTCTTGGTATGGTAAGTGGAAACTATGGACCATAGAAATATCATCGTTTAAGAATCAAACTGCAGATGCGTTGTCACCCCTGAGGATGAGGATATATAGGAATCTCCGGTTCACCACACTCACCATACCAAACACAATGTGTTGTTTTACGCCGGTTTTAAGTGGGAGCGTGGTCCCACTCCGATCGAGTCGACCAATTCGTGCCACGTAATTCCTATTTCATAAAGTAATGCTGTGATTAATTCATTTATTCCTTATTTCATGCTTCTATATGTATTCAAATCATTTCATGCCTCTACATAGATTCAAATCATTTCATGCCTCTACATTGATTGCCTCTTAAGTATTTGCCATTTTTGTTAAACTATCTATAGTAAACAGGTTTTAAGATATTGAAAGTTTTTTAGTTACTATAGTAATATTTATGGAAAATTTGTTGCCAACCCATTTACCAAGTTTAACAAAAATGTCATGAAATTGCCTTTCAAGGGATTTTTTCACTTTACCTAAATACTAAGCGAAAACTAAGCCAAAAGGCACCGAAGCCTAAATCACGCTATAAAAGTTCTGAAGTAAAGTCATATATATGTATAGAGTAGCTCTGTACCACCACACGGAGCGTTGATCGCTCCACGGGTTGATCACCTTACCTAGATTAAATAAAAATACTTTTACGTATTTCACCGCATTTAATTCTACTTTTTTTGAAATTCCCGGCGTTGTGGATGCTTTTTAGCACCCATGGTCAAGAGGATTGAGGTGATTAACATCCCGATGTCAGAGTTAACCCGGAGTACCTTCAGTTTTTTTATTTTGGTCTGATCTACGCAGAATAAATTTACTGTGTCTTAAGTTTTTGCAGTGGTTTGCTTAAGTTTAGTTTTAATTTTAATAATTACAGGATCCCAAGCAGGTGGTAGTACCCAACCTTCTTCTCTATTGAAATTAGCATGTTTTTATTTCAATAGGCTCACGAATAATATATGGTTGTAATCGATATTCTTTCGCGAGAATTTGTGATCTATTAAATCTGATGTAATGGTGATCACAAATTGCAAACTTCCCGGAACGTTAGTATTTCAACTATATTAAGTTTTTTGCGCGGGTTTTTATAGATCTCTTTGTTCTTCCTAAGAGAGATCACATTCACAATCAAGCTTGTACTCTCCAACTAAAATTCAACATCGTCATCATCATTATCAGTACAGCCCTTCACAAGTTCACTGCTAAAAATTGGCTTCACCCAAGGAATGTACAAATCACGGTCCTGAACCTCCTGCATCCATACATATCCTGCATCCATACATATCCTGCATTTTTTACCAGGGCGTCACTCAGTCCAGTGGTGGCCGTCCTACAGTTCGCCTACTGTTTGCTGCGGCTGCTACTCGAGGACCTTTCTTCCATATCGGTTGTCGGTTATTGGAGCTATATGGGCGGCCCATTGCCACTTCAGCTTACTAATCCGTAGGGCTATATCAATTCCTCTAGTAATAATACGTGTATCCTTATTTATAAGTTTATCACGCAGAGAAACCCCATGCATAGCCCTCTCCATAGCTCGCTGAGCAACCTTAAGTTTCTACCGCATATGGATAGCTGTTAAGGACCACGTCTCATATGCATAAGTCATCACTGGCAACACGAACTGGTTGTATAGTCTTGTTTTGAAGTTTAAGGTATACTTGACGAGAAGGTGTGTCGTAACCTCCCGAAGACTTAGTGCATTCAAGAATTAAAGTCTCGACTTCGGAATATGAAATTATTTTATTCCTTTTATTTCTTCGAAGTCTTATTTTGCTTTTATTAAGTAAATTTTCTTACCCTCTGAGTGGACTAATGAATATCAGAATCTCAATGTCGTCTAAATAGTTACATTAACAACTTCATCCCCTATTTTGCTACGCTTAAGGAAAGAATTTATATGGGATCATCCCGGAAGTATCTAGAAGTCTTACAGGTACCAATTTAATAAAAAGAGAGTTATTTTCATCGGTTCTCACCTAAAGGATATATAGCATAACATACAAAAAAACATACACTCGAATTGAAAACTTCATTCTCTTTTTTAAAGTAGGCTAAAAAAGCAAGCTTCTTATTCAAAGTGTCAGTTGTATGACAACAACCTCTGAATAAATTAATGTTGTTATTCTAAACTAGTCTGGAGCAAACAACATTTTGAATTTTTGCGCAAGTTTTACTTGCCAAAATTTTCTTGGTGTAAACAGCACATACAAAAATTTCTTAGGCGATTCTTGCATTCAATTAGTTTTCTCTTCATTTGACAACATGAGTGCAGTAAGTGAAGGTGTGTTAATCGTTGTTGCTCTTCTGAGACAAGAGATATTGAGAAATCGTCGTAAAAAGAGGTGTTGGATCAAAAAATGGATAGCAAGAAGAGGAGTTCTTGGAGCGTCTAACAATCTTTGTGTAGAATTACAAATAGAAAATGAAGATGACTTTAAGAACATGTTTCGTGTCAACAGAACCCAGGTTAATTATTTATTAGATAAAATTGGTTCTTCTATACAAAGGCTTTTGCCTTTTACAACAATGCGTAATGCTATTCCTGCTCGAACAAAACTAGAAATAGCATTAAAATATTTGGCAACTGGAGATTCGTTTGGTACACTGTCACAATTATTTAGAGTACCTAGGTGTACTATAAGTACATTCTTGGTCGAAGTTCTTGAAGCTATTTACTCTGTATTAGAAGATTTTATAAAGGTGAGTTCGAAATAAAACAGTTTTTATAATAGAATCATATATTTTCAGCAAAATAATTAGAAATTGTTAATTACTATTTATGCTCAGAACGAAAAATAAACAATATTTATTTATTATCAAAATATAAACTACGGAATCAGATATTTAATTAAAATAGAAAAAAAAATTACATGTTCAACCATGTGTCTTCGCTGGCTTGTTTCGAATACGGGGATTCTGGCATTGGAGTAGAGTTTTGTCGTTCTTTTTCTCGAAGATCTTGCAGTTTATATTTTGATAATATTGCTTGTATTTCGTCCTGAGCATGTTATTTTCGGTATTCAAAATTCGCAATGAAGACGCAACATATTTTCCGAAATTGTCCAAATCATCGTCTTTTTTTCAAGTCTTGCTCTTTTTTCAATATTGTCCAGTTTATCTAAGGCCGATTCTATGTAACCTGCTTTTTTTTAGTTGTTTTTTTAGGCATTGGAAATGGAAGCACATCATCGACGACTTGTATATTTGAATTTATAACATTTTCAATATTTTCAGTATTTTCATTTTCAAAATATTCAAAAACTATTTCTTGTGATGCCAGGGACGTATCATTCTAAAAACATACATTTATTTCATTATTTTATAGGTGCCAAGATCTGAAGAGGAATGGAATCAAATAATAAGGGGCTTTTTTATAAGATGGAATTTTCCCAACTGCTTTGGTGCCATTGATGGAAAGCATATAAACGTAAAATGTCCCTCTGGCACAGAATCAGACTTTTTTAATTATAAAAGTACATTTAGTATTGTGTTACTAGCTTGTGTTGATCACGACTATTGTTTCACATACATTGACGTGGGAGCAAAAGGTAGAAACTCTGATGGTGGAATATTTAATAATTGTACTTTAAAGAAGGCTATTGAAGAGAATACCATAAATTTGCCAAGTAATGCATACCCTCGCCGTAACGATTTAAGTAGAGAACAAAAAATCTATAACTACAGATTGTGTAGATGTAGGAGAATCGTTGAAAATGCTTTCGGAGTTTTAACATCCCGATTTCGAATTTTCGAAAAGCCAATCACTACAAGTATAGACAAGGTAGATGTCATAGTAAAAACATCATGTGCTTTACACAACTGGCTTAGGAAAACTTCACTTGCGTCTTACACCCCACCAGGTTTTATAGACGAAGAATGTCAAAGAAATGGTCTTCGTCTTGGTACTTGGAGACAAAATGCTTCAGGCGGAGCTTTTGAAAATATAACAACACAGAATAACAGGAATAGTACAAGGGAGCTATAAGAATCCGTGATAATTATTGTCATTACTTTAACAATGATGGTGCTGTACCTTGGCAAGACAGTGCCATTTTTTAATGAAAAAAAGTTTCACATTTATAATATTATGCACTTGACTGTACTTTAGAAAATTTACATAAATACATACTTACCATATTTGATGTTGTTTCTCTGTGTTCAGAAGTTTTCCTTAAAAAAAAGAATCCATTAAATTATACCAAGAAAGTTTGGACTTGTAAATATCAGCAGTACCGGAACCAGTGCTCATTGAATCTTTTATCTTTTTCCCTTCCGCATGATACTGCGTTCTTAAGTTTTTTATTTTGTTTGTAATTTCCTTAGGTCCCAAACGATCAACTACAAATTCTTGTGAAAATGCTACAAGTGCAGCACTACGTGCATCACAATTCTTGTAATTCACATTTTCAGTGTCCCACAAACACTCATGACTGCGATAAATCTCAATAAACTTTATTAAGTCAGCAGAACCAAATTTTAACACTTTTTGACTCATATTTTTTAATAAACAGACTCTTTACAAAACCTTCCAACACCTGAATGAAAAATTTGACAACGCAAATACGTGCAATACTTGAAGCAACCCGCCAATAAATGGTACACGCACATACAACTCTCTATTTAGACAAGTCAAAACTTGAAAGCAATAATCTCCTAAACATTATTTGTCTAAACAGAAGACATTTGCAACTACTTTTTGTCAAGACTTGCATTCAATAATTGCGTTCAATTTTTTTACTTGTATCCACGTGTAAACAGTTGCGTACAATTCTTGAAGGGCAATTAACGCACTTAATTTATTGCATTCAATAATTGCACTTGAATGTACAAGAAAATTGTATCGTCTAAATCACGCCTAAAAAAGGTTGTGGTTTGTGGTCAAACTACAATATTTGATAATAAATTAAAACTTTGTAAAAACTTTCCTTGAAATTAACAGAACTGATGAAGAGTTCTCTCTTAAGTAAATTAATTTATTATTTTGGTTTGAGTTGTTAACGAAAGGATAAACCTTATAGTGATGCTATTTTAATTTCATGCGGTACACTGATGTACAAAGACATTACTTAAAATCTGGATTTTGAGTAATGTATTTGATATGATATATATATATATATTCACTTACATGAGAAATGTACAATACTAACATAATTTTATATTAAACGGCACGACACACAAACAAACTGATAACAAAATAAAAATACATTATTTTTTTATAGTCTAAACAAATAATGTTAAAAAGTTATGAGTACATATTAAAATAATAAAAGAAGGCTACCAAAGATTAAGATAAACATTCATGACGTACTTTATTTGGTTCGATCGCGGAGTGCAAAATTATTCATATACCGACTTTTAGCTTCATTTAATCGAATTTTCGTTGAACAATAGAGACTGGAAGTGATATTATGTATTTTTGATTGAGCGCAATTATTACTTGGTTGGATAATTAAATGACCTAATGAAATTTAATAACTATATCTTTATTTATATGTATACTTGTTAAGAAGTCCTTTTTTAATGTTTTGTTTTATTTGCTTTTTTATTAGTTATTAGTACATACATACATATATATTTAATTATATTTTATATACATATATACATACACATAGACACATATTTATATAACTATAAAAGTAAGGCTTATTAATCATAATTTTATTAGATCGAAGCTGATATTATGCTAATTTATTAACATTTTAGCATTTTAATTTACCTACCAATATTATAACCACCCAATCAAATTAAGCACAATTTCACGAAGAAGTAAACCACCTTGATTATGTGTTTAGAAAATAATGTTTTAGTAATCTTTTAAAGGTTGTCATAGATTTGGCATCCCTTATCTCTTTTGGTAGTTTGTTGTAGATTAAGGCACCTTCATTTAAAATACATTTTTTACCGTATTTAGTACGTGCTGTGCGTAGTTTTAATTCTCTGTAAAGTCTTGGTCTTAGTTTTGTTATAGGTTTATTTTTTGTAAAACTTAATTCTGTTTGAATGCTTTTATTTAGTATTTTACGTACTAAAATGCAAGTATAATATTTATATGTTAGTGATATATTCATGATTTTAGTGTCCTTATAAACTTGGGCTGTTGGAGTAAGAAAGACGTAATTAAATAGTATAAACTAGAATAAACTGAATAAGGTACTGTGCTGCCTGTATTGTTTCTATATTGGTTTTAACTGCTGTGCCCCAGACTTCTATAAGGTATTCAATGTGTGGCTTATGAATTATAAATAGTGTAACACACACTACGTGGGAAACATTATATATATATATATATATATATATATATATATATATATATATAATGACTCGTAAATATAATATAATGACTTTAATATTATAACTGTAATTTTCTACCAATTTACATTTTTAGGTATTTTCTTAACAAGCTAGTAATGATGTAGCATGGCAAAAAATGATATTTTTTCTCTTCACACCTCAATATAGTAAGTTACGGTACGGCTTATTTACGCCTCACATCCGGGCACAGACTTTTCCTTCCTGGGAGTGTTATGGAGCTATTTTTCTATACATTTTTATATATTTAACAACTACATTAATACATAATTCGATTAAGAAATTCTGGCTTAAATTATCCATTACACAGTTTTACTGATAAGATTTTATTGGGTTGATTATTCATTAAAATTAAATTATATGCTAATAGTTTTTAAATAATTTTATCAATGCTTAAGAAGGAAAAATTGCTGTATTTTGAACATTGTGTCCTAATAATAATAATGAGCAAATAAAGAAATACAAATTTTGATCCAAGAAGAATTATTTATTTATTATATTTATTTATATTATATTATTTTGTGATCGAATATGGAAACTACCTATATTATCCCGGGGTGTCGTAAGAAGCGACACAGGGAAACTGAAATATAATATCATAAGAAAACTGCGGTCACTAGCCCGCCTGCCAAAATGTTATTGTATTACGTTCTGAAGATATATATATATATATATATATATATATATATATATATATATATATATGTAATATGTATGTGACAGACTATGGAGAAGGCCTTTGTTCAGAGTGAAGTTTTGGTTCGCTGAATGGTAATGATGTGAAAAGGGTGATTATAATATTAAGGACTACATGAATGATATTAAACCCTGGACATTAAGTGATTACCCAGACATTTTTTGTATGATTTTTAAAATTAAATAATATATTGATATATAACTGTAAGCTGTTATTTTTTCAAGTCACACTGCTACTTGCTGGTTTTTCTCAAGATAGAACAAAATTTTTTTTAATAAAAAGGAGCTGTTAATTAATCTTTACAGCTATTTTTATTTCTATTTCTCATGGTGTCTGCATTTCTGTTTCTCTAGTCTATAATCTCTTACTGTGCTTTATTAAGCAGTTGATAGAGTTTTGATTGCTAAATAATTTGTACCTTTTTTTCCAAGAAAATTTAAATTTATTTATTTATTTATACTTTATTGCATACCATAAAAAGGTTACAAAGGGCGAATTTACTGCCCTTTGGCATTTTCTCTCAGTCAACCCGGGACGTGTGGAAAATAATGAAATAGTTGCCAATATAAATAAAACTACTAATATTAAACATATTGATTAAATTAAAAATATTAAAAAGAAACACATTTTTTTCCTATTAACAATTATATTCAGCAGCGTCAACTATGCCAGATATTTGGTACTGCGATGGCTAATTTTACCTATTAATGTTTTAGCAATAGAGTTCATGGGTTAGTAAATAAAATGTTTAAGACCCCTGTTACAGAAAAATTATAAAGAACCAAACGTAATCAATAATTTTTTTAAATAGCTTTCTTCTGTGACTTGGAGCATTTTACATGCCTAAATTGCACATGGATCATGGATCACCGCGGGTTGCTCGCGTGCTATGAAATTTATAGCGAGCGCTTAGTCTCTGAGCTATCACAACTCTTTATATGTATCTCTTATAGATGTTTTATCTCACGTAGGCGGGTGAACTTAACTCTGCTGCTTAGCAAAGGATAAACTTACTATTTTCTTTCATAATTGTTTAATGAAAAGATTGGTCTAGGTGTTTTGGAGTATCTTATAATCCTACAAAGTGTCAAGCTATTTTGGTTGGTAACTAGAGAATGTTTTCTAAAATTGATTAGGCAAACTTACCTGTTGTCTATTACAGTGATATATTGTTACTGTTCTCTTCTGTAAGCAATCTGGCCTGCATATGGATAACACAATATGAACTAGAGTACGAATGTTATTAAAACTAGCCGCAGTATTTGCCTTCCTACGATCTCTCTTTCACCTGAAAAACTTTCTTCCTTTTAAGACCGTGTAGTGGCGGTGTAAAAATTTTTTATTTTTTTACTACCCCATTCCATTTCGTGGGTGTTACAAGAGGCAGATGAGGGAAACGAACCACGAGAGGGGCAGCAGCGTCTTCCTAATAACTACTGCTCATCAAAAGTCCAATGCTGAAGATAAGTCTCCCCGTAGATTGCCTCATATGGGAAATATTTGCCATAGTATCCACGCTTGGCAGGCAGCTTGGCAACCACAGTGTTTTATAGTTTAGGTCAAACCCTGTTTCTCTCTATCGCCTCTTACGACACCCACAAGACGATAGAACTTTGGATAGTCTTACAGCGCGACTACACAGTCAATTTACATTATTTTTAACCCCCAAAGAAAAAGAGGGGGTGTCATAAGTTTGACCGCTGTGTGTATGTCTGTCTGTGGCACCGTAGCTCCAAAATATGTGAACCGATTTGGGTGCGTTTATATTTAAAAGCGAGTTTTGGTGGTTTCTAGGCATATTTCATCAAAATCGGTTCTTCGGATTCGGTTCGGCTTGAAGATCATCAGTTTTTTGTTTGGGCGCTTTTAAAAGTATTAATTAAAGTTATCCATATTACATTACTGCTAATTATTCTCCTTTAACTTTCCGTTCCGAGGGTACTGGTTAATAGTTTTCATTCTTAATACGCACACTAGAACAATGTGCATGTGCACTCACACTGCACGTAAGACTAACTCGCGTGCGTGAGATAAAAATAATTTCACTAGATTTAGGTCCGTGACTTCGTCTGTGTGGATTTTGAAATATTATGCTCAAAAAAAGGTTGCAAAGTTTTCTCATCATGTATTGATATATATAAAAAGATTAAATGAAATTAAAAAATAACTCCTGACTGGCTTTTTGGCATTGAATTTCAGAACAATATTTTAAGCTATAATCAAATTCATTTAAAAAAATAATTAACTTTGTTAAAATTTCGTTCGTCGTCGTAAAAAAAGAGATTTCTTTTTCAGAGATAAAGAAATTTTTTTTAAAAAATTAAGAGATTTTTAGCGCCAGTGTATAAAGAAAGAAACGTTTTTAAAGTGCTGAGTTTTTAAGCGTTGGCTTAAGAGTTTTATAAAGATTTATCACGGTATTTTTCAACTTGGCAAGTTTTAA